CATATATATATATATATATATATAATATATATATACATATATATATGAATAACGGCCTAGATGCTTTTGTCTGATGAGTGTCTGTGATTCTGATATACAAGATACCCTAGTACGTTTTGACATGACAAAATATACAAACATATCTTCATATCTAGACTCCATCTGTATCTAATTCGACGGCTCATACCTTTGGCGGTGCCTGAGATTCATTTTTCTTGACTTCAGCAGTACTTTCTTCCTCCTTTACATCCTTACTCTCTCGCGTTAATTCTACACCCTCCTTCTTCTCGACATTTACATTCATATCAACACTACTATCATCGTCCTCCTCACTCACTACAGTACTCAAAACATTCCCTTTTAATGGTCGACCCTTGAGTACTATATCATCGTCATCCGTCTCATCGTCCTCGCCTGCGCCTGTGGGAGCATCGTCTAACTTGTGTGGTGTTGTGTTTTCTACCTTTACATCTATACTAGTCTCATGTGTATCTGCTTCTTGCTCTTCGGTCGTGTTTTGATTCTTCTTAAATCTTTTGGTTCTGACCATTGTAGCACTGATTACATAGTATATGTATTATACGTGTATTGTGTGCGTATATGTATATGTGTTGTGAGCATAGACTAGGTATAATTGCCGATTTATAATAGCATGTCGAAGTGAACTACTCGGTCACACTACTACAATACATCAAGAGGCGTTAAAAAAAGGTAAGTTGAATTTGCAATAGTTGATCATAAAAAATAAACAGTTTATGTAGTTGGCCGGTAAAGTCATGTGTAAACTGTAAGTATGTAATCAGTTTCTAAATATAGAACGACATTGTTATCAGTATTGAGTATTTATTGACTACACATTCAGTATGTATGTACATTTGCTCTTTTTATTTTTATTGTTTTGTTTTTAAAAAAGAAAAAGAATAAAGAATACATTTTTGTACCATAACCTCCTATAAACAATTGAACGTTATGGTGGTCATATCACCATAATGTCATTTTTTTTAATTCAAATTGTTTGGGTTCTTCGTGGGTTTAGTTGCCGCCACAACTAAAAACGTCTAAATTTGGGAAACCCTTCGTAACAAGTACATATGTATTTATTTACAATAGCTGAGATAAATAGCAAAAGAACAAAGGTGCACGTATATGTCCTGCCTGTATGCATGGATGAATTCATAGCCTACTAAATAAAAGAATGTATTGCATTAATAATAAGCACTCCCCTCGCACGAATATACATATGTAAAATAATGTCAAACCCAAGAAGCCAAGATGACCACACCGGATGAACAAAAGTTTAATTTAGAGTCCTACGGACGTTAGTCCGTTCAGCCATATTTTCTTTCTTCCCTCTCTACTAGAGGTCATGATTTAAAGGCTATGCAAATATGGTCCCACAAAATAACGACGCCGACAATAGTATTAAATTTGTACAGTACATATGGCGACAAGCGTATATTTTTTGTGTCTGTTGTTCTATGGTACATATAAATAAATACATGCATGGATTTTACAGGGGCGTCACTGAGGTTACGAACTTTTATATATATATATATATATATATATATATTATATAATATATATATATCTATACATATATATATATATATATATATATATATGTATAGTTTATATATATATAATAATAAATAATATATATATATATATATATATATATATATATAT